TCGTTACTGATTATGGCACACACACCCCTTTTTGAAGACGGGGACTACATTTGCCCACCTCCAGTCTGCAGGGACCTCACCTGTTCTCTAATAATTCTCAAAGACAGGGGTCAGCAACCTTTTTCAGCTGTGGGCCAGTCCACCATCCCTTAGACCATGTGGTGGGCCAGACTATATTTTTTTTTGGGGGGGGGGGGGGAATGAACGAATTTCTATGCCCCACAAATAACCCAGAGATGCATTTTAAATAAAAGCACACATTCTACTCATGTAAAAACACACAGATTCCTAGACTGTCCGCAGACCGGATATAGAAGGCCCCCAGGCCTTAGGTTGCCTACCCCTGCTCAAAGATAAGGGCTCTGATATTACATCCGCAAGGTCCTTTAGTACCCTTGGATGCAGCTCATCAGGCCCTGGAGATTTAAATTCATTTAAAGTAGCTAGGTGTTCCCTTACTACCTCTTTTCCTATCTTGCGCTGCAGCTCCCTCCTTACATCATTTATTCTGTTATCACCAGGTTGGGCATCACTTTCCTTTTGGGTGAAGGCAGAGGCAAAGTAGGTGTTGAGTAGTTCCGCCTTCTCTGTGTCACCCAATAGCATTTCCCCGACTTCTCCACACAGAGGACCTACCGCTTGCTTGTTCTTCCTCTTGCTTTGGACATAGCTGAAGACACATTTGGAATGAGATGTTACAGCACAATTTCATCTATTAATGATTATATACAAGTTCTCTCGTTTCATTGAGGGATTTGCTTTTAAAACACTGCAGGCTATTGTGTAAACAGCTGTGAAACTTCACTAAATACTGCTGTAAATGTGCTGACTGTTCAGCTCTTGCATATGGAAAATCTTCTTAAGAGGCAGCTGCCATACAACCAGTTTAATATATAAGCATCTTTTCACTTTTGGACATAGCTAAGCACTTCAGTCTCTGTTGACCATTTAGCAGATCAAAGGTTTCATGCTGTAATAGGAATACTAACTAAGACACAGTAATGTCTCCACTTATTGGTAATTGCATGCCTGATCCAAAAATTAGACCTGCAAACACCTGCCAGACGGTAATAAAATGGAGTTTCCCTAGGACCAGCCAGGCAACAGACTTCCAATGCTCTTAGTTTTCAGCTTGTGCAATAAAATTGAAAATGTAGGAAAAGGGAGCAAAGTGAGTATCATGAGGAAAATACTGGCACCTTTGGTTCCCAAGACACACATTTTTAAATCTCTCAGTATACTAGAACAAGGGAACATAGAAGCAAAGCAATATAATAGCTATGTGTATTTTACATTCCTGACATAGGGTTGGTTGTATATTAACATAATTAGTCTGTATAACATAGGTTTAAGCTTTGCCATTATACTGGCAGCTCCCACATTGCAGAGTGAGCTATCAATTTCCCACCCCTCTTAATTAGTATAAACAAAATGTACAAAATTGCACTAGTGTGCTGACATGCATTCTTTTATCATTGACATGCAAAATAAAAGGGAGCTAAACTGCTAAACACTCCTCAGGCTTTCTGCAATTCTTTGGTGGCTAAACTGAACATTCTGACATTTGATTTTGGGGAGCTGGGTCTTGTGGTTGGCAACCGTGGGGAAACATGATGCAAAATTAGACAGGCTTCCCCTGGGGGTGGCAGGGGTTGTTGCTTGCAGGGGTCAAGCAATGCTGTGCGTTGGCAGAGCTTAAATGAGACGGGGACTTATTGGCAACTCTGATGGACTTGTCTAGACCCTTTGGGAAACAGGTGGTGAAAGAAATTGGGGAAAACTTGATATTGGTCCCCAAGTAATGTTTGTTGTCCGTGTTTGAGAAGAAGAATGTATATTGTGGAGAAAGAGCTAGTAATTTAACTGTTGCAGCTCAACTGGTCATTTCACAGAGCTAGAAAGATTCCTCGTAAGTTACTTTGAATACAGGGTATTCAAAGGCAAGGTTATTGCCATTTTGGAGACACTAACCCATCATTTAAAGACTCTCAGAGGCCAGGCACCCCCAGAGGATTTTGAAACAATTTGGTGTAAGTTTATTTCACACATGAACAAAGAACCATTTTGGATTTTCATTCCATCAAAGTATGAGTTTATCTTGCCCATTTTGCCCGTCCTTCTTATCCTTGCCTCTGTTAGCTCAGTGGATACCCATGTTGTTATCAGATGTATTGGAAGTATTTATTATGACAATTGTTTGGGTCACTCTCTATATATTTATCATATGCACATGCTTTTCTTTCAAAATTAAAAGGGAATAAAGAAAAGAAATATTTAAAAAAATAACATTTTTGAAATGAAATGAAATGAAATGACAATTAAACATACAAAGAAAAAAGGAGCTACACACTGAGGTTGTTGATTGCATTCACAGTCTGTTGGAAGAATAATTATTGGTACTGGAGGGCAATAACAGTTTTAAAAAGTGTTTGTTGTCAACCACATGGCAAACCATATATATATATATATATATATATATATATATATATATATATATGATGACAACAATGTTCAAATGCCTCTGGTGAAATATGCTACTATTTGGAATTCTTAGTAATTCTCCAGCTTCAAAGAGATGGTATCACAAGACCTCAAGTGCAATACTGTGATACTCAGAAAAAGCAGGGCTCTTATGTTCTTAACCACAACCAAACATCTGACCATAAACTTTTGGGTTACTGCCAAAGCATGAGACCAAAGGTATGAACCTCACCGTTCTTCAGAGATTTGTATCTCACCCTAATCACTATTCACTTTCCTTCTCAAAGCTAGCTTTTATTTGGCATATTGCACTAGTTGTTTTTAGCATGGAAACTGTTTATTGGTGCATTTGAAGTGGAGCAGGGAGCTAGCTGTTAAAGTGAAAAGGCAGCAAATGAGGATTTTGCATTTAAAGAACTGGGTATCAAAAGTTTTATAGCAAGAGTTTGTGACGGAAATTGCTACAAGGAGGAAAAGAAAAGCACCACTAGGGAATTTAACTAAGAATATATCATGAGGCAGGCTATTTAGGGACTAAAATTACACAGGAGAGACTGGCAAGGGACACATACACTAAAGACAAACACAGCTACAATTAAATGTTAAATATAAGGTGTCACATCTTTTATCTAGTAGTACACAACCTGCAAGCCGCTGTAAAGTGAAGTAATTAGGGCCAAGTAACCAGAATATACGTGGGAGGCATTTGGCAGAGGAAGGTTCAAAGCTAAGTAATGAGAAGATTTCAATGAGAGGCCATATTTCTTGAAAGGACATTTTAGTAGCTTTGGGAATTATCTGGAACCAGGCCAGGAACATAAGCATACAGCCAATAAGATTTGCCTGAGAGAAAACCAGCATATATAAAGGCATGAAATAGGCCTTCTTTTCTATTATTTACTCCATACATCTCCTGATCCCATTCCTGTTAAAGCCAATGTGATAAAAAGTAGATGGCATGTAAAGAAATGGATCCAATTAAAAATGTAGTAGGAGGGAACAGAATATATTATTTTGCACTTTTCACATCCTCAGGTTTCTTGCCTGCTGAAAAATAAGGTTTATCTCCATCCCTGTACTGTATTAGAGAACTCAGAACAGATGGGTAGAGCCTTCCACTGAACAGAGGGTAAAGCAGAATTAGAAGCATTTTTGCCCGTAAGACTTTAATGGCCACTTCGGAGCCTCTCTCTCACTACTTATGTGCAGCTTTTATTTACCGTATGTTAACATGGAATGAAGAGCAGAAGAGACATTTATAACTTACATGTGCATTCTTTCTTCTTCTTCTTCTTCTTCTTCTTCTTCTTCTTCCCACAGTGTTGTTTGGTAGGACTTGGCAAGTTTCATTCACAAAGACCCCGTAAGTCCCAGACCGATTACTGAGATCACATATAGGTAAAGGTAAAGGTACCCCTGCCCATACGGGCCAGTCGTGACCGACTCTAGGGTTGTGCGTTCATCTCGCTCAAGAGGCCGGGAGCCGGCACTGTCCGAAGACACCTCCGGGTCACGTGGCCAGCGTGACGAAGCTGCGTCTGGCGAGCCAGCACCAGCGCCGCACACGGAAATGCCGTTTACCTTCCTGCTATAAAGCGGTCCCTATTTATCTACTTGCACTTAGGGGTGCTTTCGAACTGCTAGGTGGGCAGGAGCTGAGACCGAACAGCAGGAGCTCACCCCACTGCGGGGATTTGAACCGCCAACCTTTCGATCAGCAAGTCCTAGGCACTGAGGTTTTACCCACAGCGCCACCCGCGTCCCAAGAGAGATCATATATAGGGACTCCCTATTAGCGGTTCTCCCACGGACCAGAAGTACAACTCATGTCAATGAGGAATCATGCCTTCATTATAGTGGGTCCAACTCTATGGGACTGTCTCCCATTAGCAATCAGGCAGGCACTGTGGTTTTTCGTGCGTGGTTAAAACAATTTTATTTCAGGAGGCTTTGGTACTATGAATGGCTTAATATTTTTATTTCCTGATGTTTTGAACTATGTTGCAAATTTTGTATGCCCTGTATTTTTTTCTTGTAAGCCTCTTTTGAGACTGTAGTCCTGTACAGTGTGGCTCATGGGGAAATTGGGGGTCAGAGGCAGGCTTCCAATCATCCACAGCTCAATAGGGAAGCACATGCTGCACATGCAGGCGGTTTCCATTTCGATCCCTGGCAACTCTAGTTGGAGTATCAGGGCTGGGAAAAACACCTGTCTCAAACCAGACAGATAATACTGGACTAGACAGTCCAATGCAGCTTTCATATATGTTCAAGCTGCCACACATCTGAATGTTTAATGGGACTACTTTTACAAGAAGTGGGAACAGATCAGGTTTTGGCCTTCTGTCTCCTTATTTGCATACAATTAATTTATGTGAACAATCCCTCTTAAGTCACTGGGTCTAATTATGTGCAGGCGGTGAAGCACACCTGTATGGAAGAGGGAAGCCCAAGGTTTCTGTGAACTTCAAACAACAAAATAGTTAAATTAGTATTGTTACTCAGTCAGAAGGGCGCCATTTTGGTTCATCTCCATTTATTTTTGTTTTAAATTATTAGGGCTTAACCAGATGACTCATTTAAAACATACTTCTGTGGCATCTTTATGGCCTTTATGGACAGTCCAGCAATCCTATATTACAGGGTGAGGTGCAATGTAGAGAGCAAGAAGCAGAGAGTGTTGTAATGCTAGAAAAAGGGAGGAGGAAAAGGCCTATAAAACAAAGCACGGGGAAATCATGGTGTATTGAAGGGTGGCTTCTCTGGTTTTGGCAATGGTACAGCAGTCATCCTCTAAAATTTAACAGGAAAACATAGGAAATAGGCTATGTAACTCACAAAATGCCATTAGACTTGGACACAGGAAGAGTTGCATAGTTCATCACTAGTGACAGAGCAGGCATTAGCCAACCAGTGACCTGATACTTGTGCAACTACATTCCACAATGTATTCACAATCCAAACAAAATATATTTCCATCACAAATGGGAAAGGGGGAAATGCATTTTAACAATGAGTTAAACAATGAGTCTGCCTTGGGTTAATTACTGGAAAAATTATATTTCTGCTGTATGGAAGCCCCTAAGTCACCGAGGGTTTAAAGACCCATTGGCTACCCTCACCTGGTTTAGCTGGCAAGTCAAAGCTGTTTCCTGGGGTGTGGCCACTGTCGCATGTGGACAGCTTCTAGGAGCCACAGGTGAGAGCTGAGTGTAGGGTAGACAAAGGTGGACAAACTACCCCAGTGTGTCCCCCACCAGAGGTTCCACCCCTCCCCTAACACCCCATACAACACCACAATACATTATATTTCAAGCAGATGACAACACAAATGTTTGTTTGCTTATTGGACAGTATAAAAGAAAATAGAACCATAAGAACAGTTAAAAGCAGCAGTTTTAAAGGCCTGGAGCACAAAAGTAAGGATCAAGGTATTGATCTCCCTGACTTTAGTAGAAGCAAAAGCTGTTTAAATGCATGCCCCCCATCCTGTAGGTCCAATCCAGCATGGTTAAATTTGGAATTTCTCTTTTGCATTGGTACAGGCGCATCTATTTTCTTTTAAAAGGCAGAGATACAAAGTGATGCTCTCTAGCGATCTTGCCATAAAAGTGGACTGTTACGAGATGGCCTAAGTGTACAATGAATGCACACTGCAAATAAGCACACACTGATGCACCAGTGCCATAGCAAACATATTTGACAAACTACAAATCTGTACTATAAATTGATTTATCAAGCACATTTGCCGCCTTACCAACCTTTGTCATGTAATTCGTCTACCTCTCGATTTTTCCTCTCTACTGAGCAGCCTGTCAGACAGCCCAGCCATCTAGGTTGTTAAAAATAAAACAAATAAATCCTGCAAGCCAAAATGTTTCCTATTTTCCTCTCTCAATTTTGCATCATCTTCTCCCAAGAAATATTACTTGTCCAACACATGCAATGAGCAGTTCAGCTCAGACTCCAGTTTGACATGATACTACCCCATCAGAGCATTTTACAAGGTAAGATAAAGATAGAATACCTTTTATCCACCTATAGAAGGCAATTCCTCCCACTTTTAGCAACTGTAGTGCCATTAAAAATCACAGAGCACTTGGGGGGGCAGAGTGCAATCCATCAGGAACTGAGCTCTCCCACACAGCAATACATGCATGGCACTGCTGTACCAGGCGGTACTATTGACACAAGTGACCAAATTGTTCCCTTGTAACTGAAGTGAGACTTACAGTACATAGAGAATCCTATAGAATGGCTGCCATAAAAATAACAGGGCAGACATTGATCTATTGGACTGGAGTACTTTTAATAGTAGTTTCTGCTGTTACGCATTTCTTTAAAGAATTCATTAAAGGATGGAATCATAAACAAGAAAAATGTAATAAATAGTAATTATATAGGAGGCGTTATTGTTTTCATTTGTTGTTACGGTATATATTTTTGTGTTTTTATATTGTAAACCGCCCTGTGATCTTCGGATGAAGGGCACTATAGAAATGTAAAATAAATAATAAAGATACACTTCTACACGTGTCTACTCACAAGTTACTTCAAATGATTGGGAGTTACTCTTGGGTAGGTGGGTGCAGGATTGCAGACTAAAGCAAACGTCAGAATATCACCCGCAAAAAGAATTTAAGTTGGGCCCTGGATTTGCTTTTCTCCCTTCCACATCCTTTTTACCTTTCGTGCTGTGTCCTTTTGACTGCACTAAGCCTGCAGGCAGGGACTGTCTTTGTTTTAACGGATTGTATGCCAGTTGCTCTGGGTGCCTTTTTTGGCTGGCAAGCCGGTTAAAAACACTCTCGGGTCAACAAGTAAATAATAAAATATGAACTGCTTTCATGCATAACACACGCACCCGCACCCACCTCTTAGGACAGAGCTCTCCTAAACTGGCTTAACGCAGAACACGTACAAATATAAAGTACAACTTCACATTACAAGAAAATCCTTTAAGAGAGTAGTAAAAGTAACAGGCCGGATAACAATTGAATATAGGAATTAAATTTTCATCTGGTGGTGTGTGGATGTCAGCGTCCCTCTAGTCTTGGCCAAAATAAGAAGTCAGAAGGGGCGAAGTCAGGCTAAAAAAAGCCCTGGAGCGCAGCGGGGCGCGCCTGGCTTCTCCTTCCCTTTTTGGGTCTTCCCACGCGGAGCAGGAGACGCGCGCCTCAACCCGCGGCCCTTTGCTGACTTCGCAGCTCCCGCGCAGCGCGTTGCTGGAGGCGAGCGCCGGCCCAGGTGAGGCGAGGCGGGACATGCCGGCTCCTCCCCTCCTCGCCGGGCTCCAGGTGTCGTTGGCAGCTCGGCAGTTGAAGGAGCCGTGGCTGCGGCGGCGGGGCGGCGGGAGAATGGCGGACTCTCAGCTGCTGTGCCTGGACGACGCTCACGTGAACGAGCGGGTCAGCGAGCACCACCCGCGCTACTACTACAGCGAGGAGCAGCGGAGGGCGCTGGAAGTCCTGCTGGCCAAGGGGGAGAAGGCGTACAAGGAGCGCCTGAAGAAGGACCAGCTGCGAGACTTCCTCTCCAGCCGGGAGCTGCAGGCCTTGCGGGGCGGTTGGCGCGCCTACGATGCCCACCTCGAGGGGGGCAAGCCGGTGGTCGGCCCTTCGGGGAAGCCCCTGTCCTTGGCTTACTGGCCCGAGAGGTCCGACACCGAGATCCCACCGCTGGACATGGGCTGGACCAACACTTTCTACCGGGGAGTCAGCCGCCTCGGGCTGTATACGCACCCGCGCAAGGAAGACAACGCGCCTCACGTCAAGCAAGTGGCGCGCGAAATGATCCAGCAGGCGCAGAAGGTGGGTATCTCGCCTGGGAGACCCTCGGAGGCGGCGAGGGGGAAGGCGCGCCTCTTCGGAGGCCTCGACAGGCGCCTGCTTCGTGCCTTTAGAAACGCGGATTAAGGGGGCCGCGTCACGTCTGAGTGTTTTTAGGTGAAAGGGGACTGAGGCATCAAGAGGAAACTTCTTACTTAGGGCAACGTTCGTTTTCAGCTCCTCAGGACCCAAGGCCGCTTCTCCTTCCGTAATAAACAAGCACGTGCGCCTTTCTTCTGCTAACAGGCAACTTTTTAGTTTATTTTAAAGGGTTGCCTTTCTCATAGAATTGTAGAGTTGGAAGGAACACAGAGGGTCGTCGGGTCCAAGCCCCTGCAAGGCAACGCAGCCCAAGGGACCTCATAGATATGCCTTATTATGGAACGACCCAACCACAGGACAAGCCCCAACATGATTTTGTAGTGTCCTGTATTTTGAGTTTTTCATCCAAGAAGTTCCTTCATTATGCCACGTGGATTTCTCCTGCAGAATATATGCTGCAATCACATGCCCTCTTCAGAGGAAGGGCACTTGATAATAACCATAAATCTACAATCTGTTGTGCTCTCCTCTTCAGGTCACGTTGAAATGAATTACAGGTGTACAAGTACTAACCAGCCATTGTTGTGCCCTTCCTGCTTACTTTGTTTTATGGCACTTTTATCCCTTACTTCCTCTAATGGGTTTTCCCCATTTCCTTAATACCTCACAACACTTCGTTAGGGTGGGCCTAGAAGTGGCGAGTGGCTGAAGATTATTTAGTGAGTCTGGCTGCGTAGAGACATGAAATTACCGTATTTTTCGCTCTATAACACGCACCCGACCATAACACGCACGTAGTTTTTAGAGGAGGAAAATCCGTAGGCATGCCACCCGTAGGCATTCCCTCCATAACACGCACAGACATTTCCCCTTACTTTCTAGGAGGAAAAAAGTGAGTGTTATGGTGCAAAAAATACGGTAGGTCTTCTAAGTCCTCACATCCTCACCATACATTTAAAACATGCTTTACTATCAGACTATCACACAGTCATGGCTTTCCTGCAAAGAATCCTGGGAACTGTAGTTTATGGGTGCTGTGAAGTGTAGCTCTGTGAGGGGTAAAATATAGCTCCCAGGATTCTTTGGGGAAGAAACTGGATTATTTGGAGTAAATGATACTCCAGCCAATACACCAAGGACTGCTGGGATAAAGAAACAAATATTGGGTGAAAAAAAATTGAAAATATAAAATCCAGCAGCTACTCACACATATCTCCACTGCTTTCTCTGTGTTATAGGATTGTGGTGCATGTATGTCAAGGACTCCATCCTTACTTGTTAGTCTTCTATTGGGCCACAGTCTTAGACACACTTAAATACACTGAGTTTAGTGGACTTTATTTTCTTGTAAATAGGCCTAGCCATGAGCAGACTAAGTCATAAGACATTGGTCATAAAAGGCATTTTTTAATATAGGGAAAATCCTGGAAGTTTTGAAGAGCACTGAAGTAAAAGAAAGTCTGAGGAAGTGTGAAATATAAAATAGGTTCTAGACAGGAAAAATGGCTGAAATGTCCTCTTTAATAGAGGGCAACTAACAACTTTAAGGGCACCCTGCAAATTACTCAGAAGTAAATATTCCTAGACAATTTGCTTATAGTATGTTTAAGAACTTCCTAAAATTATAATAACTGGTACTTAAAGGAGTCAATTTTAATCATTATGACCTCATTTGAAGGCTCTAGATTCTGTTTTGACTTGTATGGCGTTAAAATACCACAAATGAACTTATTATTTCTACTACATTTGTAGTGTTGTTGTTGTTGTTGTTCAAAGTGTCATATGTGGTTCTCCCCACCACCTTTGATACTCTCACAAGAATCCCATGAACTCCACTAGACTGAGAGAATAAGTCTGCGACCCTGTGCACACTTACTTCAGTAGATGCTGTTGAATACACATACTTCCTTCCCTAGAGACACCTGAGTAGAGACTACTGCATTCTGTCAGAGATACTGTACAGTAGTTGCAATATTCCTTCATTAAGCAGGGAATTGAACTTTCTGATCTCCAAGGTCCTTCTATTTATTACAATTCTATTCTAAACACAGAGTGGATTGCACTGGGCCAGGGTCACCCATTGACATTCATGAGTCTGAGCAGGTATTCAAGTCCTGACCTTCTTGATACTAGGAACATAGGAAGCTGCCTTATACCAAGTCAGAACCATTGGACCATTTAGCCTGTACAGTATTGTCTATACTCACTGGCAGCTCCTCTGCCAAGATTTCAGGCAGGAGTCCTTCCAGCCCTACCTGGAGATGCCAGAGATTAAACCTGGGATCTTTTGTATGCAAGGCAGAGATCTACCACTGAGCTAACCCAATATTCTAACCACTACACTACATTTGTGCTACTCATATAGTTAAAATTAAACTGTATTCCATAAAAGTATGAGTACTCTGATGTATGTGTTTTGTGTATAGCAGTCTTAGGCCTAAATACTGAGCATGCACTGCTTACTCAGCTTCACATAAGACAGAGTAGTAACACCTCAGACATCCTTTTCCTGGAGACTGTCAGGATTGTGTAGTAAGTATTCTATTCTAATTACACAATTGTTGGTATAGAGTTCTAGATTAATTAATTCATATGAATTTTAAAGGTGTGATCCAATATGCAATTGTATATACAGTACATGAAAATTACTATTGTATCCACCCTTGGATGTGTAATCTTGTTTTAATTGGTTGGTAGCCAAGCCATATTCAGAGTAGACCCACTGAAATTAATGGACTCAATTTAATCTAATTCCATAACAGAATAAGCAATGGAAGGAGAGAGTTACAGCCCAAGATAGGAAAAGAGGTGGTAAGGGAACACCTAAGTACTTTAAAGGAATTCAAATCTCCAGGGCCTGATGGGCTGCACCCAAAGGTACTAAAGGAGCTTGCAGGTGTAATCTCAGAGCTTTTGTCTTTGAGAATTCTTGGAGAATTGGTAAGGTCCCTGCAGACTGGAGGCAGGCACATGTTGTTCCCATCTTCAAAAAGGAGAAAAGATTCCCTTTACAAATATGTTCAAATGAAAGTATTATTCACCTGTGAGCTCCATCATTATTGAGAGTAAAGGTTCTATAAAGTCTTAGATGAGCTATACTTTTGCAGTCATTCAACCCCCAGCCTTTAGATGCTTTTAGCTGATGTCAGGGAGGGCAATTTGCCAAACCTTCGAGTACCAGCAATCCAAATGGGTAAGACTGGAGGTCTTACAGTATTTGGCAGTGGAGCCCCAGGCTTAAGAGATAAGTTATTTGCTTTTCAAATCCTGCTGTTTCCATACACAGGTTCAAAAGTGCCAGGTGGAAAGATGGAGCAATAATTTGTTTAGTTATCAAAGAGATCTCAGCAAACACCTTATTCCAAAAATCAGCCAGCCCACATGTGCTTATATGTGCCAACTGCACAGCAGCCCCTCCAACACTATGAATATGTACCTGGGTGCACAAAGGAGAGCTGTCGTTGAGTAAGGTACTAACCATGTACCAACCTGAAAGAGGGCTATTGGGTTTGAGACTACAAACTTCTGTATGTCCCAACTGGATTCCCACCATAACTTTTGACTCTGGGCCCCAAAAGAGACATTAATAAGGAATTTTATAAGTACAATATACAGACCAGTGCCTGTGTCATGTCTTTAACTGATTGTTCAAAAGGAGTTCATTACCTAGTGTCATCTCTTTTAGTAGTGGGACTGATGAGAAAGGACCTCAGTTGACAGCCCAGTAGCCAGGGAAAGGTTTTATCACCTCTATATGGTTTCATATCAGCTATAGAAAGGGAACTGTTTCTGTATAATAACTCATTAAGCAACATAGTTTACAGGATTTCCATGACACAATATCCTAAGATATCCCTTTGATCCTAAAGACTGGATGATACTGTAGTGGTTTAAGCAAGGACAAGCCTGGTGCTAATTAATATCATTGCCCATTTAATCCAAACCTGAAAGGTCATTAGAGAAAACATGCTGGTTATCCATGTCAGGATCTAAATTTGTACAAACCTGGCAATGGATATACTATGTTCATGACTACAGTGTATTATTAACTAATTAACTAAGGCCAAAGTGGTGGGACCACCCTTGCATCTGCAGTTGTGCCGCTCATTGTGGCCATGGCAGAGGGTAGGGTCGGGACCCAATTGCTGCACCAGCTCCTGGCTGGTGTGTGATGAGGCCTGATGCCATTGTGTGGCAGCACTAAGACAGTCTCAGGATCCAGCAAACCCAAAGCTGGCTTAGCCCTGCCCCCTCCTCACTCTTGGAACAGGACAGGAGAGCAGGACTGGGAATTCTCAGTACCTTTCTCTCTGCCTCCTGATTATTTTGATCCTTGTTCAGATTTCCTGGCTTCCTTCTCAAGTGTCATTGGAGGCATTTCCAGAGAGCTTTCATTGTCAGGACCTGAGAGTATTGTTCCATACTTGTTTAGACAAGTAAGGTGCTTTAACTCTTTCTTGTCTCTGCTGGGTCTATACAGTGGACGGGTCAGTGTAGGCTGTGCCAGACATACTTTGGTTTCTCATGCTTGTTGTTGGCCAGGAGAGTGGAGTTACTTTGCCTTTCCCTAGGACACTGCATGCTTCCAGGGACCTTCTCTGATCTTATAATTGAGACTGAGGAGGCTAGAGTTCCGCTCTGAATGGAAATTCATTTATTGCAGCTAATGCAAAAATAAACTGTATGCCTCAGAAATTTTCAGAAGCCAGTAAATGCAAAGTAAAGTTCATGGAATGAGTTCTTTTCCATTAACTGTGCACCGATGAAGTTTAGTGTTATTAAACCGGTGCTCAGTGAAGCCTCTGTGTATCTCTTGCCACTTCATTAGTAATCAAAATAAACTCGAGATGTCTTACCGTGTCACGTAAGTGGTCTATTTGGCTCAGTTTCCTCTGCACTGATTGGTAGTAGCTCTCCAGGATTTGAGACCAGAAACTTTCCCTCCCCAATCCAGAGGTGCCAGGAGTTGAAGGTGGGACCTCATACATGCAAATCATGTACTTTACCGCTGACATATTTCCCTTCATTGAACTGTGCCATTGCATCTTAAAAATCTGCTTTGTAGCCATAGATACATATATACATAGGTTCCTGCCTGCACACTGAGATCTTAATCAGAGGATTTCTTGGTGTGTCTGCTTTCGAAGTCTGTGAGGTGGGCATTCACAAGAGAGATGACCTTTTTCAGGGCTGGCCCACCCATGAGGCAAGGTGAGGCGACCACCTCAGGCAGCTGCATCCACAGGGGCAGCAGGTATAGCCTCCAAGGACTGTATTGCCCGTTCCTGCTGCTGGTTGGATCTGTCATCTGTTCAGCAGCGCCCCCCTCCCATGCTGCCCCTACAGTGGCCTGTTGGTCAATAGGAGGTGTTGCTGGTCTTCTTCCATCCTTCTTCCTGACGTAGATCTTCACTTACTCATTCCCTGACTGGGAGGAGGCACCATTTTGTGATTTGCTTCAGGAGCCAAAATGTCTTGGGCTGGCTCTGCCTTTTCTGCACTGGCTGCTTGCCTTTGGAACTCCCTTTCAGTAGAGCTGCAGTGGGCAGCTATACTTCAGGCTTTAGGGGAGGCCTTAAAGACTCATTTGTTATCATAAGTAAGCCCCACCTGCGATCACTGGATGGAGACTGGAATATTATGTCTGAGTCTGTTTCCACCTTCTGTGAATGCTGTTTTATTGATGGCTTTAGTAAGAGTTTTTATATAGATGCAATGGAATTTTAAAATGGAACACATTAACTCTCAGTATACTAAAGGTTTTCTCTTCAGATTTTTCAGTCTCGGGTCTGCTCATCTGATGCATGACCTTTTGGCTACACAAGTCTCCTGGGAAGCAGACCAGTGGCAAAAAAATGTAGAGGATTTCATGTTACATGAATGTCAGATGCAGCTAATTTTTTCATGGCTTTAAGAATGGATGATTTGTAGATTACAGTCTTAGTGAAGTACTTGCAAAGCATTGGGAAACTGCCTAGAGTCAACTTGGATACCAGGAAAGGTTGCATCCTTCCTTCAACTCTATAATTTTTCCAACTCTTTTCAATTTGTCTTCTGTTGGAAATGGGGCTTAATATTTTCCTCTGAATATACCCTGTCATTTGAAAACCAAGCCCTCTTTCCATCCCCATATTGTTTCTGTCTCTTTCTGCCGCCTGCTCTCCCAGTGCTATATAATATCTACCACTGGAGTAATCATTCTTGCTTGAGCCATAGCAATGCTTTATATTTCAGCCACTGATACACTGGTTTACAGTGTGTTCATTTTAATAATTTCAATATTTTTTGCTGACTTTAAAAAACGGGAAAATCTCCACCCAGCATTCTGAAGGTGGTTACGTTTAAGAGAGTAATCAGCTTTCTTAATAGGTTGGCATCTGTTTGTCTCGTGAGACAATGGAAGAGTGCGCCTTCAGAAGTGAAGTCAAGCTGTTGGAGAGTTACAGCGCCTGCTCTGGCTGTAGAGACTAATACAGAAGAGACCTGTTTTGTTACAGCTGGGGCAGATGAAGGCGTCCAGTTGTGCTGATGCAGGAGTACTATGGCATTTCTTCCTTCTGCACTCCTCCCAGCGTTTAAGAGAGCAATCAGCTTTTGTAATAACTGCTCATGTTACCACATCCTAAGGCTCTTCTTTACTCCTATAGAAGTGTTGAGATGTTCGCTGCCATTATCTGTGTTAAAGCGTGAGTCCTATGAGGAAGGTTTGGAGGAGTTGGGTGTGTTTAGCCTGGAGAAGAGATGATTAAGAGGTGATATGGTAGCTTTCTTCAAATTCATTTTCTGTTGCTCCGGAGGGTAGGAGCCAGCAGGTTCAAATTACAAGGGAATTTTAACTCAACATTAGGAAGAACTTCCTTAACAGTTTAAGCTGCCCTTTAGTGGAACAGATTGCCATAGAGAGAGGTGTACTCTCCCTCGTTAGGGAATTTTAAGCAGAGATGTTGTAGCATTGAATTTCCTTCATTGGCAGGGGGTTATGCTAGAAAACTTGTGAATCTCTTCTACCTCAATGGGTTGTAGCCAGTTCTGTGCAAGAGCATACGGAGTTTCACTCATGCAATGTGACTTCCATTTTGTCTCCTCCTATGCCTCTCCCCCAATCTGCTCTAGAGGGTCCACCAACCCCCTTGAGCTGATTTTGAGGAAGCGGGGAGGGGTTGGAGAGGATAGGACAGTAGTATGTTTTGCATTGTTGGAATACAGTTCTATGATTATCTTAAGTACAAATGTTACATCAACTGAATATCCTTAAAGAAAAACCTACTGCCATAAACTCACCACAAACAGTCAGGCAGGTGAGACAGAGACCTCCATTCAGATAATCTTCAAAATAATGTTTTGGAGCATTGGGATTCCATTCCCTCTGGTATAGTGCTAACATGCTGCAGAAGGGTACAGTTCTGCAGTGAAGGGGAAGCGGAGAGAGGGAGTGCTGGATTATTTTCATTTGAAATTTGTCTCCCTCCATTTGCTTTTGTTGATTTATCTTCCAGATTATCTGCCATCCTGTTAAACATACTGATTCTATTATGAGAGGTATCACCTTTACAAAATGTGTGCTCTTCCACCGCCAAGCTCTAGTTAGAGTTGCACATAATCTAGAAAGGCTAAGTAATTTAGCTATGGATGCGGAATAGTACATTGTTTCTCAGTCCTACGCCCAAATACATAAAAAGAGATGGTTGCCTTTGTTGTAAGAATCCAGTGATGCAGGGTACATCAAAACCCCCAAAGCAAAGAAAGAGGGATCCTATTTAATAAGCAGTGTCTGGGCTCTATGACGCTTTCAAGTTCCAAGGTAATGCATTTCCTCAACAGGTAATGTATGTAGCAGTGCAGATTGGCCTCTAGGTCTGTAGAGCACCTCCCTGTTTCTCACTTGTTCTTGCTGGCCCTCTATTCTGCTTGTATGGTCCTGTCTTCATTAAGGGGAGTATTTAACAAGTTCCAACCTTTCTGAAACCCAGTTGACCTCCATCAGGATTGCCAGCCCTGCAAGATTTGCGCAGGCAAGACTTCCAAAGAAAATGCCTCTAATTTAGAAGGAGAACGCAGCTAATGGCAATCTGCCCCAAAGCAGGACTAATAAGTAGTGTTGCTAGTATTTGAGTTCAAACAGTTTTTGTAACACAAACTTGTACAATGTATTTTAGATATTAATGATGGGCCAATATAGCAAAATGGTGCTCTTTCAAATAAGTATTACTAATCCAAAAATAGTGTAGTTTATCTGAAAAACAAGTGAGCTCATGTGCACTACACTTGGGTATAGAACTTCTATAAAAATCCACTTAATGTTACATATCACTACCCAAAGATAGGAAAGAAGCAATTTAAAAACACTTTTTTTGGGGGGGGGCATACTTTAAAATCTCTTTCCACTGCAGTATGGAACCAGCGGTATTCATTTTTGAGGCCTCCACAGGAGGTTAAGAACAGTTTCAGGTTAAAAACGGACCTCCAGAACGAATTAAGTACTTAACCCGAGGTACCACTGTATTGTTTGCTTTGATGAGTAATGGCTCTCAGTCCAAGTTCTTTTGCATTACATGCTACCTAATCCTTTCGCTAGGAATTGAACATGGGATCTTCTACATGCCCAAGCATGTGCTCTACCACTCAGTTATGGACACCTGCATTGGTGGAGCTCATTATTACCATTAACTGCTAAAATGATCAATTGTAACATTCCACCTCATTGAGAGGGTGAGGACAGTTAAAAAAGGGGGGGATATTTTGATTAAATCCTGCATTAGGGGTTGACTATGATTCCTATTAGGTGGATGAATACTAGATTGGGTTTCTGGGAGAGGGTGGGTACGTCACTTCCAGAAAACGGGTCAAATCATTATGAGAAGTCAGGTCATGCAGTTTAGATGACAGCAAATACTGTGTTTTTCAGACACTACTCAACATGGAACACTCAGTGAAAACCCTAGGGTGGCTCTGAACAAGAACTAACAAGCTTTCTTGTCTGTTCAGGCAGTAAAAACCACGCTGTCAAATAATGTACTCCTGAATATGTTGAAGCATATGTTTTTCATAGCCTGTAGCGTGTCATGGGTGTATGTCATAAGCCCTGGTGGCATAAGGACAGAAATCTATGCCTTATTGCAGTATTGCTTTTTAAAATAACTGCTTGTTCTCTTTCTGTTCGTGGCCAGATCATTGCAGTAGTCATGGACCAGTTCACTGACAGGGACATCTTCCGGGATATCGTAGATGCATCATACAAGCGTCGGATCCCCGTTTATATAATCTTGGACGAAGAAGGCTCTAAATTTTTCCTGGAAATGTGCAAAGGCATGGAGCTGAGTGATTTCTATATCCGGGTGAGCTGATGATGTGCACTGTGATTAATGAGAATCATAGCTGAGAGGTATCAAAGCACAGTTTTAATATAAATTTTGAGTAGATTAAATAATTATTGTATTGATAGAGGACTTGGACTTGATTCTTTCTTCACCTTCTATTGCCACTGATCACCTAGCCAGGTGTCCCCTCCATCTTCTCTTTGTGCAGTTGGTTCTTCCTGTCTTAAGTGTAAAACCTTGCATTTGTCCCTGTTGGGATTCATTATTAGTTTTGACCTGGTTCTCCAACTGTTAAGGTCAATTGAATCCCAATTCTGCCTTCTGTGGAATTAGCCATCCCTCCCAGTTTGGTGTCATCGGCAAATTGGATGAGCATCCCTTCAATTCCTTCATCCAAGTCATTTATAAAGATGCTCGATAACAACAGGCCCAGGACAGAAGCCTGCACTTCCCCACATGTCACTTTTTCATGATGATGAGGAACTATTAATGAGCAGTCTTTTTGTGTGGTTGTTTCACATTTCATGACTTTATGCACATCTTGTTCATGAATTATTATTTATTTATTTATTATGGAATCAGTCAGTGATTTATCGTATGGTCACAGACCCATTAAAATTATTATAGAATTGTTACGTGACTTACATTGTAAGCAGGGTTGAGCACAAGTCACTTCTCCACCTTCGCTGGAACCTTTGTCCTCTAGTGAAGACGCAGGGAGAATTACTATAATCTTAATGGGACTCGAGCAAAGGTTGCAACATTTTCAGATAGTGGAGTACCACTTTATGAGGCAGCCTTTTATTCCCATTTACAAAAAAGGCTCGAGGGACGATCCCTCCAACTATAGACCTATAAGCCTCCTGAATATAATGAGTAAATTATACACTAAACACCTCAGCGAGAAACTGTGCAAATGGATAGAAAGAGCGAAGATTCTTGAGGATGCACAGGCAGGATTTAGACAAGGGAGATCCACAATGGATCACTGCCTGATCTTACAGCACCTAGCTGAGAAATACACGTCGCATCACAATCACCACCTATTCGCAGCATTTGTAGATTTTAAAGCAGCCTTTGACTCCATCCCAAGAACTCGACTCTGGGACAAACTCTACAAATCATCCATAGACCGACGTCTGCTGCTACTAATATACAAACTGTACAACAACACATGACTTCGTATAAGATGCAGCCAAGAAGGTCAACTCTCTAATTTCATTAGAACAACAAAGGGAGTTAAACAAGGATGCATTTTGGCCCCCTTTTTGTTCAACATCTATATAAACTCCCTAATAGATCACCTACAAGGAGCGGATACACACGCCCCAAAATTAGCAGACAAAAAACTGCCTATCTTACTCTATGCAGACGATGCGGTTATATTGTCCCAGACTCAGACGGGCCTCAAAAGAGCTCTTAACAGCTTATCCCAATACTGTAGAGAAGAGAAACTAGCAGTGAACTACCAAAAAACAAAAATCATGGTTTTCTCTAACAAAAGGAAAATATACAGATGGAATTTAGACAATCAGGAGATTGAACAAGTGACATGCTTTAAATATCTAGGAGTGATATTCCAAGCATCAAGGAAGAAGACTGCCCACATAAACTACAGCTCCTTTACAGCACAAAAATGTACAACAGCAATCCTAAGATTCCATCGTACAATGGGAGGAAATTTCATCCCTGCTACAATTAAACTATTCGTTGCAAAACCAACAGCACAAATCCTATATGGCGCACCACTCGTCTCCCTCTCTAATCTAGACCCATATGAGAAGATACAATCAGGCTTCCTTAGATCACTCCTGCAAACACCTAAATGCGTCCCAAACGCCGCCTTACGACTGGAAGCGGGCTTATACAGCATTAAAGCCAAAATATGGATAAGAACCTTATGCACTTGGCTAAGACTTAACAACTCGCCGGTTGGACTACTTTCCCTGATGCTTCTTGACAAATTCCAATCTAGGTGGTTGAAGGGCATTCTCAGAAAACTGGCCACATATGGTCTCTCCCCAGAGTATTTATTAAGTTTAGAAAGGGGAAGGGCCAAGAACATAATCAAAGAAAGACTCAGGGACATTGAAACCCAAAATGACTTTAACCAACTTCCGATAACTTATAAACTTCTATACAAGTCCCAAAGGCCCCATCTAGCAAACTATCTCAAAGATCTAGACAACGCTAAACACTGATGGGCATTTTCCAGGGCCCGCTTTAACGCTCTCCCTTCAGCTCTTCTAGAGGGAAGATACAATAAAATACTGATCGAACAAAGATTATGTCCCTGTAACAGCAATGAAATCGAAACCATTGGGCATGTCATTTTATACTGCCCATTATATCGAGACTCAAGAAAAGAGCTGATCGAACCGATTCTGAGGAAAATACCTCGTAGTACAGACGGCACCTATATCAGACACCTCTTAGCTGACAAAGAGCCCGAAACTAACAGGTCCGTGGCAAAGTACTGTTACATTGCAACAAGAATAAGACGAGCAATGATGTCTACAAAGGAGTTCAAACTGTAAACATCTAAGGAACGATAATAAACAGTAGCGACTCCTGAACTGAATTTTAAAAACTTAAAACTCGAAACCTGGTCATAAATATAAGCACCAATTCTGTGAATTGGCCATATTTTTACTGTTACTTGTAGCACAATACTACTCTTAATGTCATATTTTATAAATTGCTTCCTGGTCATTGACCGTATTAAAGATATTTGATTTGATTTTTGCAGGGTTGAGCACAAGTCACTTCTCCACCTTCGCTGGAACCTTTGTCCTCTAGTGAAGAGAATTACTATAATCTTAATGGGACTCGAGCAAAGGTTGCAACATTTTCAGATAGTGGAGTACCACTTTATGAGGCAGCCTTTCCACCTTTTCCTTTCCTTTTTAACATGAAAGAAAGGCAAGCTTCTATGCTCAGCAGCAGCTGCCAGTTGCTTCTAAAATTGTTTCAGAATGGCACTGGGAACATTGCTAGATGATGGCAGAGTGTGGTTCCCAGCAATTTTGTATGAAAAGAGAGATGGAGGTCCATATGTGCATAAGGATTTATTATCACTGGTTTCAGAAGCCCTTGTTTCTGAATAATTGTCTTCAGCATTGCAGCCTAAGCTGCAGTGCTCTGTAATGCTCTGGTATTTGCTTCATTCTCTCTGCAAAAAAAGGTGTGCGGATTCTTTCTTTCTTCAGTTTAAACATTCTCTGTAGATTCCCACAAGTTTTATTGCATGAAGAGGTGCTCTTGCTTTCTTCTAAGACTGAATAGCATCTTTGTTCACTGACTTTCACCTTTATAGATCTGGTCAGCCTTTTGCAATGCATGGTCTCTGATCCTCTGTTCCCCCAACTGTTCCATTTGAATGCCCATTGTCTACTTTTTCACAGCTGTTCAGATGAATGAAGTAAGAACTGTCAAGCACTTTTTATATTCAGCATACTATGGAAATTATTATTGTTGATAATCATCACCACTTTTTTTTCAGGTACAAAGAACCTTCCCTAAATTAGGGTGTTTCTAATCATGAAGGTTCTCATTCTTCACCAGACAACTACTTTTCCAGGCTCAAATAAGTTTGCCTTTCTTTCTTTCTTTCTGAAGACGGTTAAGAAACTTCAGCTGGTGCAGAATTTGGCAGCCCGGTTGTTCGCCTTTTGGCAAGATTGTTTGAGTGTATTATACCGATCCTGGCCCAATTGCACTGGCTGCCAATTAGTTTCTGGGCCCAATTCAAAGTGCTGGTTTTGATCTAAAAAACCTTAAAGGGCTGAGGACCAAAACACTCCAAGGGGCAACTATCCACATATGAACCTACCCAGACCCTGAAATCATCATCTGAGGCCCTTCTTTGTGTGGCTCCTCCACAAAGGGTCCAGAGAGTGGCAACACATGAACAGGCTTTTTCTGCAGTGGCTCCCTTGTTGTGGAATGCGCCTTCATAACATATCTTTAGGCTCCAGGCAAAAACATTTATCTGTAACCAGGCCTTTGGCTGATTAACATTCTATGACCTTTTACATGTGTTTGTGGGAGGGGAGGTTATTGGTTTATTTTAATTTTATTATGTATTTTGGGTTCTCATTTTGTCTTTGTATGTTGTGAACTGCTCTGTGATCTTCAGATGAAGGGTACTAAATAAAAACAACAACAACAACACTGTGCTTTTTCTTTCTGTCAGAATATCCGTGTGCGTTGTGTGACTGGAGCTGGGTTCTACATGCCATCAGGGAAGATCCAAGGCAACTTGGCTACACGCTTCCTGATGGTGGATGGTGAAAAAGTTCTTACTGGATCGTACAGGTCAGTTGCTAACTCAGGGTGGGCGTTCCTTTTACATATATGCATGTAACTTTCCCTCTGATAACTGGAACATGAAATGTGTCCTGATCCTTTTGCAACTTAGCTTAATAATTTGTTCCTAGTTTCACACATGAAGTCAGACCTTTGGTCCATCTAGCCCAGAATTGTTCTCACATTGCCTATGTTTCTAAGTAAAAATGCACAAGATTGGGAAGCATGAGGGCAAAGCGGGATGTAGAAGGAATAAGAAACACAGAACAAAGGCAGAAAGGAAGAGAAGTATGTGAGCAATATGAAGCAGGATTAAGAGGGGAAGAAGGGATATAAGAGAAAAGATGTACACAGAAATGACAAAAATGTTTGACTGTCACCTGTCTATCTTCCAAGTACTTTCTCTGCTATGTGTGTCTACAAATTAACAAATGTACTTGGATAATAAATATGCTTCCTGATTACTACGACATGTTTTCCTAGATGGTATGAGCTTAGATGTGAGAGGGTAACTGTTTCTGATTGCAGTGCTTTTAACAACAATATCTCTTGTTTGATAGTTTCACATGGACCTCATCCCACATAGACAGAAACATGGTCTTGTACTTGACCGGGCAGCATGTGGAGATGTTTGATATTGAATTCCGTGAACTCTATGCTATTTCGGAGGAGGTCAACCTCTACAAGGAGCTGAACCTTCCGTGCCCTTTCCGCCAAGGCGTCGGGAGAATGGGATTTTCCTCCTCTACAGTGGCCCGGAAGGCCATCAGCCCAAAGTATGGACTGGTAGTGGCAGTTCCCCCAGGTGAAATGATGCGCTGGGCCTCCCGCCAGAGGCACGAGTCACAAGGGACTCAAGAAGCACAGGAAGAAGAAAGTGAGTCCAATAGGCGACTACAAACTTTTCTGAATGACCTTATCACGGTGGAGCAAGTGCTGCCAGATATTGAGCCTCCACTTGAGGACCTGAACAGAGGAAACCGGAGTCCTCAGAAACTATTTTCCCTATTAAAATCCAAATCCAAATCCAGGGAGTCCATCCGTGACCTCAGGAAAGATGATGTTGCCAATGGGGAAGCTGGTTCCAAACCAGTCAAGAGGTTTGGCAGTGGATTTTTCAGACGGGCCAAGCGGCCACCACCCTTCAATGCTGATGCCAGTTCTATTGCCAGTGATATTGCTGAAGACTTTGTGGTTGTGAAGACAGGAAAGGAAAGCCAGGCTAGCCCTCGCCCGGTCAGCGTCCGTAGTAGTGGGGCTAATTCAGGTAAATAATCCTGGGGAAGACTCTTTATTTTTTGTTTTTACCAACAAAATAGTTACTCTTTCAGGATTTTTTTCCCCAGAAAAGCTTGCCCTTCTCTATTCTGCTTTCAGATCCCCAAACTTCTATACTGGGTGATAGACCAGTCAGTGTATGGGCAGAGTAAAAGGAGGGCAGCTATATCAAGTATTAGTATAATCCTGAAGTCTGACACTAACCTCATCTGATAGCTTTGTTTCTAGATGAGTTTAATTTAGGGGGCTAATGGGATAATTTCATATTTCTCTCTCTTTCATAAATTAGGTTCATAAATCAGGTATTTTGATTCCAAGAAGGAAGCAGATTGTCATTCTGTGTTGCGTGAGTGTAATGTAGGTTTATTAGCAAAACTGAGATGCCTCATGCCACTTAACTTTATATGACTGGGAAGAGAGTTGCTGTGACAAACATGGAAGGTATTTGTATTCAAAATGCGCCCCTGGATGCACCAGCCGAGGCTTAAATAGACTCCTCTTATGTTGTTTGACTCTTTCATAAGACACCTTGATGCATTTAATCTGCTATCTTACACTGTTCAAGGGTGAAGGGTGAAATTCTGACGTCTTTGTTTTGTTAATAGCAAAATATTTTATCATGGGGTTGGGAATGAGACATGTCAGAGCAGACAGATCCACTCAGCATCTACCGTGTGTGTGTGTGTGTGTGTGTGTGTGTGTGTGTCTATGTATACACATGTGTCCCTATCCTCTGATGAACAGAACTCCAGTAGAACACACTTCCCTTCCCTGGAGCTGTCATTTGCAGTGTGGTTTGGAGAAGGAAACAAGTGTTAAAAAGAGATTCCAGGTGGTGTTTTTTTCTGCATTTTTCATAACCTCGCATAAATGAGGCAGTATCCTGCCTGTCTCCTAAGCCCGCTGTGCATTCTAGAGGGGGAAATGCTAGCAACAACCATTAAAAGGGTCTCTTGTAATAAGCTAAGCCAGCATTTGTGGAATCTTTATATGAGGCCTTTTGGAATTCCCTTATAACAATTCTTTCTTGTTTATAATTACTGGCTACAGTATGGCTTGCAGTTGTTTAGTCTTCTTAACTTTGGGGGGAGGGAACTAACCTGTGGCCCTTCAGATGTTGATAGACTCCGGTTTCCATCCCCTCCAACCAATAAGGCCCAATGGTCAGAGATGGTGGAAGTTGCAGTGCAACAATTTGACTGATGGTCAGTTTTGTAGCTTTTAATGACCGAAGTCCTGTAGCTATTAACTACTTCCTCTAAAGCAGACATGGCTAACCCATGGGCAGCATCTGTCCCTCAAAACATTTTTGTGAGTCTCCAACAGCCCCCGCTCCACATCATATGCCAGTTTGGGGATGGAACTGGTTAGTGAAGTTTAAACAACAGCCTTGCTGTGTGTGCCAAGTTGATCAGGCTTGACCTGAAGCACTCAGTTTGGGAATCTTCTTTTGCACAAGGAATGCAAGGATACCTGGAGCCTTCCCCACAATTTGGGTTTTCTGCAGATTGCCTTTTGCTCCAATTCAGCTTTGAAGAGTTAATTTTTGCAGGGAAGGCTCTGGAGCAATAAAAAAGTGTGCAGGAGCTTTAAAATGTGCACCATGCTTGGAAAGCGCATAGGAAAAGTAAGTGTGGATAAAGCCCTAAAAGTAAGCTGTTTTGTAGTCATATATCTCGAGAAGCAAAAGTTCTGTCCCATAGAATCCAGAAATTTGATTGACTTTTGAAAACAACATTCTTCTCTGCAAAGATTCAGGTATGAATTGTCTCAGTAATGTTCTCTCCACATGCATGGGAACATCCTCCATTTGCGTGGGTACAAAAATTTCTCATAGTAAAATAGCAAAAGTCTGCTTTTTGCCACCTTGCATCACAGGCCCAACTTGATGGTCTTCATGCTTCCTGTTAGCAAAACCCATTCACACACAAACTTCATGCATGCCTGTGGTTTCCAAGCAACTACTAAAGCTTGTCTATTGTTCTTGAGAAGTAACTACAGCTTCAAGGCTGAATATCTTACAAAAGCTAAGCTTCAAACTAGGTTACAAACACAGCTTTGCTAATAATGAAAGGATAGCATTGAATTTGAGAGGTTTAAAAAAGTATTATATGTAATAAAGAAAGAATATATCATAAGCATAAATGTCTCTAGCCAGCATTAACTTCCTAGGTTACCAAATACACAAGTTGGCCCTAGTGCGTCTGCTTGTTAGGGTTACCAAGTTACTAAAACCATGTTTCAAGATGCATTTTAATCATGACACTCCCAATGAGTCATTTGTTTTTAAAAAAATGAGTTTAAAATTATTGTTGACTCCAGGGGGGTCTCCTGCTGTGATGGCATGATGCCAGAAGTTTTTTTTTGTGGGGCCCCCATAGCCCCCTGAAATTTCCATTAAAATTAAATAATAGTCTTTTAAAATTAAATAAAAGATTTGCTGCCTGCTTCCATATAGTCTCCACAGGTGCTGCTTTGTCGAATTTAATATAGAACAATGAATGGTGATGAAATGTTTTCAAATAATGTAGAATGGCTGATGGTAGTGCTTGGGAAGGCAGTTCTTGCCACGGCTGTTTTGACCCTGAGGGTTGACCCTGGGTCAGTGTGGCCCTCAGTCCAAAAAAGATTAGCTACCCCTGCTCTGAAGTTAAATCTGTTCACTGTCTAGCCTATCCTCTAACAGTGGCCGTGTAGGATGAAATAGAAGGAGCTGCAGAACCAGCACAAACTGTGGGAGAGGGGAGAGCTGTGCAGTAGTCAGAAGTTTCTATACACCCCTCCCTCCCCCCCCCCCACATCTCACAATCTTTCCAGGCAAACGTTACAGTTCAAGTACCCATTCCAGCCATACTTGCCCTCCAAGCCTGAGCTTTCCTACTCCTGGATTAGAGACTTTGGTTTAATATTTTTATTCTGCTTTTCCAACAACAAATGTTGAGCTCAAAGCAGCTCACAATAATCACAGCTGCATTTAAAAAACAAGCATTGCAATCACTAACACCGCAGTATATAAATAAAGCAAACAACAAATTCATCAGAGCAATACAACTCAATAATTGGAACCCCAGAGTTGATACAGTATGTGAAGTTGTCTCAAAATACAATATACACTAAGCCGAACAATTTCAGATACTTCAGTAGGAAGGAACCCACTTAAGGCTGTCGAAACTACTAATCACCACAGTTCAGAATTTGCTCCACTTGCCTTTGCCATAAATGTTTTATACTTGCAGCCAGTGCAAGAAAGCACTGTGTGTTTCACTGCCAAGGAAGTAATCAATGGCAGCCTGAGAGACCTATGGCATATATCAAGCTATAGTGAGAAGCCAGCCACATGTCATGTATAAAACATTAAGCTGGCCACCAGACCTGGATGGTATTTGAGAAGATGGGAAATTGGGTAACAGGGCATAAGCTGTGCTAATTGGTACACTAATATTTCTAGGTATACAGGTACTGTCTTTTAACATTGAATGGTTATCACTCACAGTAACTAGAGTTTCCCCATTGGAATATGCATGGGGAGGTTCCCAGCTGTTGAGGAAAGGAAATAGGAAGATGAGGAAATTCTGGTTGGATATCTTGAGGTTTCTGCCATTTTAGCTTGGAAGCGATGGTCAGAAGCACCTCCCCCACCCCCACCCCCACCCTTTTTTTTTAACTGGAGTATAAATTGTAACACCGAAAGTTTATTTACATTTCAGCTTAATACATTTTGAGACCCTTCTTGGAGATGGGCAGTCTGTTTCTTTTGCGTTGAAATCTGCATAGCACAAGACATGCACAGATTCAAACATTGTGTTTTAATTCACAGCAGAGAAAAAAATCATTTATCATTTGTAACATTTTATTAAAGTTGACCAGAGGGCATGCAGCAACCCCTAGTGATAAAACTAGAAAATAGCAGAGGCCCATATAGATATATAATCCAAAGTGAAGGTTATTAAAGCTTTCTGTATGTTGAAATTTTTCATTCTGTGTATGCAGTGAAAAAAGTTTTAGATTGTAGCAATTAGAGCACAAAAAGAACAGCTCAACTCAGGTGCCAAATGAGCAGGTTGATATAGTGTGTATGGAGGACCAGGACTGAATCTAAAGCTTAAGTTTTGAACGTGGACCAGTGTCCTGGTACCTATCAACTAGTAATTTTACAGCGGACTATTCAAGTAAATAATGTCTAAATATAAGTCACATGAACAAAGTGGTGCATGTGTGCACATGCAGTGCCTGGTGGAGAGCGCTTCCTGGACTGGTTGCCTTTCTGCCTACTCACCCAGTTAGGAGATTCTCACTGGTATTGTCTGTGGCACACAGAGGGAGGGGGACTGGGGACTGCTTTTCCAGGGCACCAGCTAAAGAGGATGAAAACGGCGGTGGGAAAGCCAAGAGAGGCTACTTCCACCCTTAGCATCTGCTGCCTGAGGTGATTACCTCATTCTTCTTAACTACCCTTAATGTAGTTTGCAATTATCTAAATAATTTTACTTTGAACGAGATGCATTTAAAAAAACGTTTTTGTTAATGTTGCTTCTAATAATCCTGAAAAAAGGAAATGGCCTTCTCAATGGCCTTCATTTGATAACTGTATATATAATATGATGCTTAAATACTGAAGTTCTGCTTTATTTACAAGAAGTGTTCAAATGCATACAAGTCTATAAAAGTATTAGTAATTAAACATGGTGCTTTGATGGTATCTGCACCTCTGTTAAAAAGCTGAAAAGACCATATTTTGTGCCGTAACAAAATTTGTAAATTAATTGGGAATAAACAATTGAAATAGTTTGAAAAATGCCTTCACTGTGGAAACATTTCTGGAATATCTTTCCTGTGGCTGTGGGTGGGGATCATGAGTTGCAGAAGGGAAAAGGAAAACTGAGAAGGTATACCTGAATGTGTTAATTTTCTTTTTTAAAAGCACGCTTGAAATCTTTTAATTAGAAACATTTGGTTCATTTTGTTTTTCTGATACAGAAAGAATGAGACCAAGCTCCCCTTCAGGGGACAGAGCCAAACAGTCCAACTGTGTGGTGTCGTGATCTGAGGAAAACAGCGACGGGAAAACTGAGAACCCGAAGGGACAAGTGTGGCTGTGGAATATACAGCTGTGGGCTGATTTCAAACCTACAGTCCCAAGTTCCTCACAATGGTCTGTATCAACACTCTACTGTCAAGGTCGGAGCTGGTACATCCATCTAAAGTGCACATGCAGAGTAAAACACATGACATGGAAGATTCCTATGTGGAGAGGTAGCAGCATGAATTAAATAACAGTGATAAGTGGAGTTTGGAGTTTAAATCTGTGCTGACATACATGTAGGGGTGCTTTCTATTTCTATGTGTTGCTTCTTAAATTTGGTTACAGGCTTAAGAAGAACACGGTTATATTGTTGATAATTGTACTGTACCGCTGTTGATTTTGTGAGTCAGAAACACAAATCAAAGTTAAAAGGTAGAATCCAGAGAAGATGGTCAAAGCTGGGGATTTTGTATGTCTGAGGCAGCATTTCTCAAACATCCGAACATCTCCAATCATCTACACACCTTTAACATTTACTAGATCTTCTGCACCTTCCATAACCTTTTCTGTATCCTAATGTATGGATAGCCACCATGTGGCAGTGACAAAGACAAGAAGGGGCTGTGGAATTGCTAGAGAAGGTCTGGTGGGCTCATGCTCCCGGCTGTGGCACAGAGTTGGGCCTATGCTCCTGCTTCCTTCTGCTGAGCTACACAACTCCCTACCTGGACTAAAACAGTTATGCTAAGGACCTGGGAGCTGCATGTATATTGTACAGTGGCACTAGTTCAGAACCTCAGGTTCATGGCCCATATGCAACCCTTCAGGCCTCTCCATCTGGGCCAGACCCCTTCACCAGACACACCCCCTGCCAGACCTGCTTAGCCCCCTCCTTGAGTGTTTTTGTCTGGTTGGAATGATGTGTCCTTGAAGCCTGCTGTAACAAACATAAAATTAACATTTGTTGCTGAGCCCACCAGTGACATGTGGCCTCTGGAAAGTTGCCCAGGAGGTAACGTGTCCCCCTGCCCATCACTAATCTAATGGGACTTGCACACTTACAAAAATGCACTAAATTATATGTGCTGCCCCCACTTCCTCTGATGACTCCTGATTTCCATTTGGGGGGTGGTGGCCTAAGGATTTCTGTACATGTTTGTTTCTCCTCTTCAGAAATCTATTAAGATTGCTCTAGGCAATGAAGAAAGAGTCAGTGAAATTGATACCCAATTCCTCTTCATTCCATATAGAGCTTGACATTTAAACAAATTTTATGCCCTATAATGGTTATTTGGATGAAAGCATGGGTCATAATGCCAGGTGATGCTTATTAAGGTGTGCAGGTGAGATTCTACATGGTCTCTATTAAAAAAACACAACTTAAAAGATGCACTAATAAGAGTAGCAGGTGGCAAAACAATGCAAGATTAGTATAAATGAAATCATTTAATCTTCCCTTGCATCTCGTTACTTTTGTCCAGATTTATAACGACAAATGATTAAAAGTACCTAATTCAGTTCCTTATTCCAGCGCTTTAAAAGTCAAGGTTGTCAGTGCAGAGTCACACTACTTTATACAAGCCCAGTGGATTAATTCAATATACGGACATTTGTTTTCCAGACAGCTGTCCTATAGTCAGTCTATGGCTTTATGCTGCCTTAAACAGTAGCTTTCAGGCCCTACCAGAGGCTGTCTGCCTTTTTGTATCCAGCCTGTCTGTTACGGAATACTAATCAGCAGAGAGTGAGGTGCAGAGTTTGCCTTGTTTAACACACATGCTAGCTCTGTTTGAGAATGTTCAGTAAGAAATACATCCAAGAGAAAATGTCACACACACTGTGCTTTCGAATTGCCTGCTGTGTCAGCTTTTATAGCAAGGGGTCTTCCAGAAATTGGATTACGTTTGGATGGCTGAGGGGTTGCGCGTGGGGGAGCTCATGCCTAGCCAACCATCTATTTATTAGTGCTATTGAACATTGATTTAATGGTATGCGGGGCATGTGCTGTACTCTGCCTGGAAGCTGTTCATTACAGCGATTTCCCTTCTTCTGTACACATGGCTAGTTAAACTGGATTCCATGGAGATTAACGGTGTATTAAAACCGCAATGGTATTCACCCACTTCTCCATCTATATTCAGATGGCCAACTTTCAGCCAGACGTGGTATATGCACGCAGTACATTTAACTTCCAAGTGGGATGATTGTACTTCAAAAATATATCAATGCAACCATTGTTGTAATAGTCACAGCCTCTGCCTTCACTCTGCTGAACGTAAGCAGTTCACTTGTGTCAAAACTGCCTTGAATCCCTTGGAAAAGGTAGTCTGTTTTGATTTGGAGTAGCTCCAATTGAAAAATATGTACATATTAAAACATCCAGGCAAATTTATATTTAAAAGGTAATTTATTTTTAAAAACTAATTCTATATTTTAATTCCATGTGCACTTGTAAGTTTTTACAGGGCTCAATCATGCGTTCCAAAAACTATAAATCCAAGTAGGTTTTGGTTTTGTTTTTGTTTTTAGAACAAGTCCCATGAATTGTTCCCATTATCCCCAGGTACTTTTTTTTGTGGCTCTTGTATTTGTTCATGATCTTAAAAAGCCACTTGATTTCAAAAGTGTTTCATGATTGTGGATATGTATTTTTAAATGTGATACTTTTGTTGTTGTTGAAATGCAGAAACCACAAAATGAAATGAAACTAAATCTTGAACATCATGTTTTTCTACAGCCACAGATAATTTGAAGGGACGGACTGATGTGTCTGAATGTTTTAACACCCAGATGAAATTAAAATTGATGTGGTACTGGAATTGTACTTTAGAATGATAGTAATACCCATTGCATTGCAATGCAATTCAAAATATGCTCAGGTGCATACAGATGTGCATGCAAACAAGGCCTGAATTGTTTCTGTTTGACTGCTGAAGCCCAGTTTCCCCTATTTGATAGATGTATCAGTCAGCAAATCAATTTCTGATCTAATACTCCAGCGTTAGTCAACCCAGGGCCCCTCAAATGTTGGATCCCCCTCCCAGCATCACTGATGATTAGACATGTTGACTGGAGCTGGTGGGAGTTGGAATCCAACATCAACTGTGAACCACCCTGAGATCTTATGATGAAGGGTGGTATATAAATCTAATAAACCATCTGGATGGCACTACATAGCTACTGCTTCAATAGTCAGATCTTGGTTCCCATGTCCACCATTTTAAAATGTACATTTTTAAACTTTGAAATTGCTGCATGTACATGAGCATGCGTACACTCATTCACCCCATGAGCAATGTGTGTGTAAACATTGGCAAATTGTTTTGGGGGAGGGGGAGATGAGTTAGTGATGATACCTGTTTAGGGCCAATTAGTACTGTGCTTTTGCTGCAGACGCTAATGGTTTCCTCTGAACTTGACCCAGAAGATAAATTAGTATATTTTAATAAAAACATGAGTGTGTTTTGATGATGGGTTTACCACTCAGATTATGTTCATATGTGCACACCCTTCTTTATGGAAAGCTTCAACTGCAATTAAATTCTCTGACAATCAGATCTACACAAGGGGTTTGCACATTGACAGTGGTATTGGGAACAGAACTTTCATGAGGAAGATGTACAAGCACATATTGCACAAAAAACCCCAATGCTACACAAATTGCATTTTGGGATCTGTACAGATAACCATTTCAGAACACATTCTACCAGAGATGTGTAGCAAAGTTCTCCTTAACACTAAGTCAACTAAACTATGCCTGGGGTGAACAAAGTAGCCTGTCATCAGGTATTCTAGTCTAGGGTGGTTTAGTTGGGTCACTCTGCCCGAGTCATAACACCCACCATGAACTTTTGGGAAGGGATTGTGGCATGGTGTTGGGCTTTGCACCCAGAAGGTCTCAATTTCATTCCCTGGCATCACCAGTTAAAAGGATCTTCGGTAGCAAGTGATGAGATAGACCTCTGCCTGAGAAATTGTGGAGGTGCTGTCAGTCAGAGTGGACAATACTTGGCTAGAGGAACAAATAGTGTGACTTCATGGAGCAATTTTCTCTGTGTGAGAGAGAGGGAAGGAGGGTCTGGCTGACTTGGTGAGAGCACAGAACATCTACTTACTGAAGTTTTTAATGACGTCTCAAGCTGATCTATATTATGCTAGCAAGCAGACCTGGTCATTGCTGAGGCTTTGATATATGCAGGTTATAAATCTACACGTAATAATACACACCTAAGTTCCATTTAGGTTGGTGTGATTTAAGAGGGCATAAAAGAGATCAAGATTTCAGTCTGAGTTTGCAATTAATTGATGATCATCTTATAAACATTTTAGGACCCATTCGTTCTAGTCTCTCCCTGAAATCTGGTAGCATAGTGGAACTGAATTGGCCTAACTCACCCATGTGAATGTTATGCAAATGATGTTTAGTGATTTTATTTGTGCAGTATACTTCTTCTGTAGCTTATGCTAAAAGTGTTGTGTATATTTGGAATTTATTTCATTACATTGCACAGCATTGAAGATAAGTGGATCTGGTCATAATTCTAAAATAATGTCTTTGAAAATTCACCACTTTTCTTCAGTCCCTTGAAACTTTCTGTTTCTCCATGATGAACAGATTTTGATTAAAAACTGATCTCAGGAGTTTATTAGAAGATTCATCTCATAGCCTGTCGACTTATTGTATACCCATCTTCTGAGTAATTTTCGTCAATATTTTTAAAGGTCTTCAATACTTCCTAGTTATCCAGAAATTATTTGCTGCATATTTCCCATTAAGGCTAGGCTTAAAAGGAAATCTTTCAGCTGACTTTCAGCTATTTAATTTAACCCTGTGCTCACATATAAAATTACTGAGTGCTTCCCTGATTATAAAACCTCTTGATCCACTTCATATACAACATGAAAAAAGAATATGGATTATCAGCTGCCTTTCTATGGAGGGGGAGGAATACTAGTGCAGCCAATACCTTTGGAGGGACACTTCTAAATAATTGGATATAGACATAGGTGGATCAATAGTTTGACGGTATAAAGCAGATTTGTAGGTTAATTTTTGAGGTGCAGTGTGGTCTGTTATGAATGCACAAACCTGCACACTTTGGTTACAAGCCTCAGTAAAATAGTTGTGCTGCAACCTAGGTTCACCTTTTTCTAACACTGAGATTATCTACATGAAGGGAAAATGTCATGTGGAAAGAGGACTGTACACTAGAGCAATTCCAACTGTGCAGATTCAACATGAAAATATGCTTTACTAGTCCTCCCCTCCCCCCACTTCAGAATCTGCTCTTGAGTGCCTTCATCTTGAACCTCTTCCTAGAATGGATCTTTAGTGGATCTTGAAATTGGTTTCTCTGTGCCTAAGCTACGGCATTTAAACTCAGATCTTATTACACAGTGTTTAGCTTTTTAACATTCCTTTCTACACTATGGATTTTGTTTAACTTTCGCGACACTTGTTCTCTTATGCCCTAGTAGTCTTTAATACCAATTTTCTGCCTTGACAGCATCAGCTGAAACTTTTTTTGCTCGTGTTGAAAGCTTGGATTTACTTTTGACTTTCTAGTGTGAAGTTCAGGTCTTTGGAGCGTGTAGAAATTTATTGACACATTAAAATGGTGCTGGCAGCTTTCGTGAGACCAGGGATGGGCAACAGTGGTGGTGATGGAAATAATTATGATTTATTTTGGCCAGTGCCATTTATCACGTGTCAGCACTTGAGAAATAATGTGGCAATGGATGTATGGGGCATCTCCCTTGCTAGCAAAGTACGGGAAAGGAAAACGTAAGCCTCAGGGTACATCAGGTCTGCAAAGAACATTTGCGGCGCTTCTTGCTGTGGGACTGTAGCACCAGGTTGGAGGCATGAAAAACAAGCGTGGTATGGCACAAGCAAGCCCTCAGCCTGCACCATAGGTCAGATCATGACAACTTCACATCCTCTGCTGGCTCTGGAAGCACTTTTCTGCAGTGCAAATAAGTTTGTATGTGGTGGTAGAGGAACATTCCAGGCTTGAAACTTTGATATATGTGAAGGTCTGATGTACATGACTCCTCAAAAAAAGCCCAACATGATCCAGCATGTTGCATTCCCAGCATTAATTTGTTGAGTTGTGGCTTTTGCTCAGGGAAACTATTTGAAGTGCCATTGGATAACAGTCCCTCCCCCCTTCTTATATCCTTCCTTGGTGGAATAGACTGAGCACATTGCAAAGCAGCAATGTTGTTGACTTTCCATGGGATAAGGAAGGGATCTGTAGTTCTTTAACCTCTTTCCCTTTTTTGGGCTCGCAGTGCCTGAGTTGATCATGCCTTGTAGCTATATGGACTAGAATAGTCTACACTGGCTGTTGCTGGCAACAGCAGACCCAGGTTTGGTGGGCAGCCTTTTGACAATATGCCATATTGTTGCGTGTAAACATACTTGTTTGGTGTGTACATGTGCCTTACTGTCATAACAAATGCATTTTATACAACAAATAAATTCAAAACTGTTTTAAGTAGCCTTGTGTTTATTGGCATGGTGTCATCTAACTGAATGTGATCAATTCTCTCTCTCTAGTTTTGTAATGAATTACGGGCGAACATGTGGGGCACCTCTGGAAAGATAGGTATTTTGGTGAGCGATACACAGCTCTGCTTACAAAGAAATCAAGAAAGGGCATCAGCCCTCGAGGGAAACTCTTGAGAGGCCAGGCAGTGGCTGGGGATTAGCAGCTGATTAAACTGACTAAAGTTAAGTATCCATACTTCATTATACATAATACTAATTGACACGGCATATTTCTATGAAAGAAAAAACCAAAACCAAAGTAATTATATAACTACTACATATGTCAGGATTATTGTATAGTATAACTTAATAAGATTTTTGAGTTTGGGAAGGGGCCTCAAGATTGTGGGCCCCCATGCACCACACCCCATATGACTGCCATTGTGGACAATAGTAAGGCTGCTCTGCATTGACTTTTATTTTTTACAATCAACCTTTAATCACAAGGAAAACAAAACTAACTAAGATACAGGGGGAGATAATAAAGGGAATTTCACATTACTAAGGAAGTACATATTATAGAAAGGTGCCCTTACTACTTGTTTAGCCTGCCTTAATTGCCAGGATAATTTTTAGCGCTGTTTTATCTTTCTGCTTTTCAGAGAAGAGGATGTAAAATGAGAGTGCAACATAGAGGTTATTTAAAATAAAATAAATGGGCATTGAAGACCACCACCCTCTCTAGGGAAGTAATCTGCACACGCTCAAAGGCATTCATTATTGGTATTAGTATTTAGATCTATCTTATCCGAAGATCTCCAGGCAAAATACAACAATTTTTACAGCACTGGGACCTGCCTGAAATTGTCCTAGGCACAGGGGTCAGCAAACTTTTTCACCAGAGGGCCGGTCCACTGTCCCTCAGACCTTGGGGGGGGGGCCCAGACTATATTTCTTTGGGGGGGGGAATGAATGAATTCCTATGCCCCACAAATAACCTCATGTAAAAACACCAAGCAGGGCCCACAAATAACCCAGAGATGCATTTTAAATAAAAGGACACATTCTACTCATGTAAAAACATGCTGATTCCCAGACCGTCTGCGGACCGGATTTAGAAGGCGAGTGGGCCGCATCCGGCCCACGGGCCTTAGGTTGCCTACCCATGTCCTAGGGCTACCATCAAAGAGGATAGGCAAGCTTTTTTGGGGGGGAGACTTATTTGAGGCTTTCTACATGAATAGAGATTTTTATCTTCATGGAGGGTATATATACTTTCCTATATGTTTGACAAGAAAATTGCCCAGTCTTCAAAAAATATTGGCTTAGCTGTTAAAATATTTGACATGCTCTTGAATTCAAGAGAAACAAGCACTTTGTTATCTCCAACCTGCCAGGAACTCTCTCCCATCTGCCAACAATACTTGCACTGAGCACTTGCAATTGAAAGGCAGAGGTTGGGGGGGGAGCAAGTCTTAAAATGTGGTCACTCTTAGCTGTCTTGCTAAGTATGCTGCATTTGTACAGAAAGATCAGTTCTGATTCAGCATGGACATTGCCGACATTGTACTGCTGCTTGAAAGAATGGGAAGATGGCTCTGCCTTAGTGCGCTGAGGGAAAACTGCAACAATCATAGGAGAGGGGAAAGCATGGGGGTCATCTTGTCCACTACTTTCCCCCAGTGCCATTATTCTCCTCAGTACATTTTCTGCCAATCTGTAAATGATTCAACCATTTGTATTTCTCAGAAGTCTATTCCCCGCTCTCTTGCCCTGTCAGAAAGTTACAAATAACATTGACTGAATTACTCAGTATGTAGAAGCCCTGATAGCTGAAGCAGTGAAAGAAAATGACTGTTTCCCTCCTTCAGCTTACCAAAGTGTCTGCTTTTTATGTCTTCAAGATAGGAGCATACTAATAAATGCAGAGCAAGGGAAATGAATCCAAGCTAAGGAGCACTTCAACAAATCACAGGATTTCTAGGAAGAAAGGCTGGACGTTTTTTTCTGGACTTTTCCAAACTTTAAATGGCGAAGTTTGGCCAAAATATATTCTTGCTTTCTATTTTTAAATGGACTTAAATAAAGTTCTTGAATAAAGATAACATGCAGTTGCATACATGGGAGCATATTTTCTCTCTCGTACAAAAGCTACATGCATTTTATTGTTGCAGGGGCCATAACTTGGAACAGGGCTCAAATTTGTATATAAATAACACTCTCTGATAGGGAAGCATCTCTTCCCCTGCATTCTTATCGCTGATGTTTAGGAACTCTATAGCATAGTTAATTAGTAGTGAGATGAATTTATTTATTTAGAGTATTAATATCCCACCCTTCAATTAATTCTTCTGAGACAGGGGGCAGAGGAGGGGTTAGCTCCACAAGGAAAGAGATCCATAGGTGGATCTGAGACCTCAACCCCCCCCCGTGCCAATTTATCCTAAGAGCCACTGGCATGAAGATATCCCCCCATTTCATTGCCCCTCCTTTTTGTCTTTCAGCAGTCTTTGAATCCTTCAGCCATTACAGCTTGTGGTATGAGAATGGTTTTTCTGTCTTTCCCAAAGCATGGAAATTAAAGACATGCCACTGTGTGGATGATGCCAATTTATGGATGTATTACTTGTATGTCTAGCCAATTTTTCACCAAAAGGTCCCAGGGAGAGTTATAAAAAATAACACAATTAAAAAACAAATACGAATTACATTAAAATAACAACACACACACACCAACAGTAGCGGAAACCTCCTTGTTCCCTCTGAATCGGAAGAGGTCGCTGAGGTGCTGGACCAGTGTTTGCAGGCAGTGGTGGGCTGGATGTGGTACAAGAAACAAACTGAATCCTGAAAAGAGGTGGGAAACTGAAACATCATCCTTTAATTGTGGGCTTTGACTTGTGTCCATTTATTATTCTTTTGTACAGAATTACTTGTTTGTCTTACGTAGACAGAAGAATGGCATTGTTGAAAGGTGCTGTAAGAAATTATTTTTAAAATATTAAGCGGTTTAGAAAATGGCTGTTCAAAATCTTAAATGGTTTTTAAATGCTAGTAAATAAATAAAATGAGCACACTGAACAGACTCACGGTGCAGTCTTGGACTTGTCTACTTATAAGTAATCTCCAGTGAATTCAGTAGTAATTACTTGCCTAGTGGAACAACTATCTACTAGTATAATAGTGACACACAGTGGCTAAAGGAGGCAATGCATTTTCTTCACCTTTAACTAAAAGTAACAGCAAATGGGATGCGGATGGCGCTGTGGGTTAAACCGGTGCTCCCCAACCTTTTTATCGCCGCGGACCGGTAAATGTTTGATAATTTTTCCGTGGCCCGCTTGTTTTGATTTAATAATTTTAATTTAATTGTATTTAAACATGCCTTCAAAATAAAATACAGCTACACCAAAAAATGAATATAAAGTGATTTATTTTATTTAACTCACTAGAATGCCAAATCAATGAGAACCCTGAGCTTGTTTCTTTGCAACGAGACGGTTCCATCTGGGGGTAATAGGAGACAATGACACCTGAAGTGTGTTGCTTATGTCCAGTTTATTCCGTTGTTTTGTTTTGGTTGCTGTCACTGCAGAAAACCCCGCTTCACACAGATAGGTTGTCGGAAATGGCAATAGGGATTTAAGTGCTGTGGTGGCAATCTCAGGATATTCCGCCATGACTTTAATCCAAAACATTGGCAGAGTTGTTGTCTTGAACGTAGTTTTAAGGCCACCGTCATTTGCAATCTCCAGCAGTTGTTCTTCTTCTTGCATAGACATGCTAGATTCGCCTGATTTGTTGGCAAATGGGTCGCGGATCCATTCCTTACCAGTTCGTGGGTCTTTTGTGGTTGGGAAGTAGCGCTCAAACTCTTTTAAAAGCAAAGACAGGTGATCGTGCACCAACTGGCAGAATGAATGTTCAAGCTCAGTCTCGCCTACAATCCCTGCTAATGTCTGAAACATGTCCAAAATGCCTCTGTTCATGCGCCATCCCCACAACTCCAGTTTGGCTTTAAATGCAGCTACTTTGTCTGACAACTTGAAAACAGTTGTCATTTTCCCCTGAAGGCCCAGATTGAGTTCATTGAGCAGGCTGAATATGTCACACAGGTAAGCCAGTTTTGCGACGCATACCTTGTCACTGAAATGTGCTGCCAGCGGTGACTTCTTTTCTGAGAGAAATCTTTGCAATGCCTCTCGTAATTCAAATACTCTGGTTAGCAATTTTCCTCTGGATAACCATCTTATTTCTGTGTATAAGAGAAGGCATCTGTACTCTGCGTCCATCCCCTCACAAAGCTGCTCAAACAGGCACGAGTTAAGTGCGTGTGCTTTGATGTGGTTAATAACTTTAACGACATCCATCAATACGCTGTTAAATTCCGGTGACATTTTTCGGCTTGCCAGCATTTCCCTGTGAATGAGACAATGCGTAGATTCACTCTCAGGTGCAACCTCCTTAATCCGAGCAGTTAAACCGGACAGTCGTCCGGTCATGGTAGCAGCTCCGTCTGTGCATATGCTGACACAAAAGGACCATTTCAGTTTTTCTGATATATAACCATCCAGTGACTTGAACAGTTCTGCTCCTGTGGTGTTGGTTGGCAAAGATAGTGCACATAACAAATCCTCATGCACATCCTCCTGATATAGATATCGCACATAAACAAGTAGTAGTGCCTTGTTGTCGATATCTGTAGATTCGTCAACCTGGAGTGCATACCACGGTGATGTATTAATCCTCTCCAACAATTGTGCCTCAGTGTCTTCGGCTATTTGCTCAATGCGCCTAGTCACAGTGCTAGCTGACAAAGGCACATGTGCTATCTTTTCCACAGCAGCCTCTCCTAGAAGTTCACGGCAAATGTCTTTAGTGGAGGGCAAGATCAATTCTTCACCAATAGTAAATGGCTTTTTAGCCTTAGCAATGCGGTTAGCCACCAAATATGATGCTCTCAGTGCATTCTCCTTTATTGATGTGGTGGCCCTCATAAATATCTTCTGTGCTTCGTGCTCCCGTTTTTTTCTTTCAAAATACTCCAGGGGCTTGTCTTTTATGCCAGGGTGCTTGGCGGTCAAGTGGCGAAGCAGTTTTGAAGGTTTCATTGCCTCATTAGAGAGCTTCTCACCGCAAACTATGCAGAGCGGTTTTGATGCGTGGGAATCACCTGTCCCGATAAATCCATATTTCAAATAGGACTCATGGTATTGTCTGTTAAAAGTTGCATGTTTCTTTGATGTTAAAGGCTCTTCTTCTGTCTCTTCACTGGGCCTTTTTTTCTTCCCAAGGAAACTTTCTAACGATGTCTGTTTCATACTCATTTTTGCTAATTTGTGGGTTAAAGCAGACACAATAACACGTCAGTACACACGAGTACTGGTGAACAGATAGAAGAGCTAGAAGAGTGATACCTTCTCTTTCTCTTCACTCCACTGCTGCTTGCAACCGCTCAGCTCCAGATGTCACCTAAATCCGAATGTAAATCAAAAAACTATCAACGCAAAAATGTGATCAGTGTTTTAAATATATGACCAGTGTATCAAAATAACTGTGAAATATATATATAAATCACAAAAGATGACTCTGCCCCCTTTCAATACAGAGATGCCAGCATGCCCCTTTCAATACAGAGATGCCCCGGCATTCCCCCTTTCAATACAGAGATCATCGCGCCATAGTGCTGAGTCTCCTCAATAGCAGAGAACCCCTGCCCCCCCCCTCCGTGCACTTATGCCTGAACCCGCACAAACACATTCGACCCAGGAGTTGTTGACCTAAATAAGTGCAATAGGCCTGGGTGAATGAGAGGGCATTCTAATAAAACCATTGCTGCTCCTCTTTCCGTTTGATAGTGCTGAGTCCCCCCCCATGCACTTACCTCACGGCAGCTTCTCTTCAGTCCTCGCGTCTCCGACCTCGAGTCCTCAGTCCTCCCGTGGCGCCTCCTCCTTGGCCAATGGCGTGAAGTTTGCCTTTCGGCCAATCAGGAAGCGGGAGGACCCGCTCCCTGATTGGCCAGGAGGAGCATCAGTGTAACAATAGCGAATTTTCATTCACTATTGTCACACAATGGGCAGGCTTGAGAGGGCGCAATGCTCTGCGCCTCGGCCACCCGCCACAGTGAAATGATTTGAAGTTCCTCGGGCGGCCCGGTGCCGATTGATCCACGGACCGGCACCAGTCCGCGGCCCGGGGAACACTGGGTTAAATCACTGTGCCACTTGGGCTTGCGATAGTCATGCTGGCCACATGACCCGGAAAAACTGTCTGCGGAAGCGGACAAACGCCGGCTTCCTCAGCCTTTAAAGCAAGATGAGCGCCGCAACCCCAGAGTCATTTGCGACTGGACTTAATTGTCAGGGGTCCCTTTAACAGCAAAGTTAATGAAACAACATTGGGAGTGGGGACATGTTCAGACTTACGTAGGCAATTAAGAATACATCTTTCCACAATAGTTACTTGATTTCTGATTTAAACTTTAAATACGATTTCAGGGGCGGACTTTGGTCTTTCAAATTTTAGCGGCGCCCTGTGCATGGGTAGGTAAACTAAGGCCTGGGGACTGGATCCGGCCCAATCGCCTTCTACATCTGGCCCACGGACGGTCCGGGAATCAGCGTGTTTTTACGTGAGTAGAATGTGTCCCTTTATTTAAAATGCATTTCTGGGTTATTTGTGGCGCATAAAAATTCATTCATTTCCCCCCCCAAAAAATATAATCCAGCCCTCTTCAAGGTCTGAGGGACAGTGGACCGGCCCCCTGCTGAAAAAGTTTGCTGGCCCGTTTTACAGCATGTTAGATACAAATTGGCTAATGTCTGCCACCAACAATGAAAAGGAAAATGTCACTGGTATTTAACAGGTCCTTAGCTGAGCGAATGAATGATACATTAATTAATGTGTGTCAACAATGTTCAATAGGACCTCAAAAGGGAAAAGGAAGCTCCAGCTCAACTGGTATCTAGTAATTACCCTTTGTTTTGTTTATTCTTCTCCAGGTGTTCGTTATGACAATTCAGCTGGCATCCCCTGAGTGCCCTATGCATGCTTTCAAACATTTCTTTATTCCAGAAATATATTTGAATAAATCTGAAGCCCCATAGGCCCCTCTAAGTGAACTTCATTCAATTTTAGGGGAGGAGGGATGCTATACAATAATCAAGAGGACCTCTTTTTCTTCTCTTTTTTTGCCATGGTAGTACCATGAAGCACTGGAGCTGTGATGTTTAGATCAGGGGTGGGCAGAATATAGATCTGGGTTGAGTTTTCAGAAGTTTGGGTGATTTTCAGAAGATTGGCAAGGATTTTTGAATCCCAGTGGTTTAATAATAAAAGCAAGAAATGACACACACACCCTTTAATAACACTGCTAAAGTGAAGAATGCATGGGGGTAACCATGGATAGATGTTAATGTGGCAGCACTTGAAGCTCTATTCACTTCTGATATTTAAAAAGATATTCTAGTTTATGAGTTTAGCCTCTGCTTGGCGGAACTTGGGGGTTCTAGTAAAACAAGCACACACATGAAGTAGATCCTGCAAATCTGAAGTCTGCTCACCCAAATTAAATTGTGAGCCCACTGGGAAGAGAAATTGTTATTGTAAGGAGCCACTGGCCATGGGTGGGGGTTGCCCCCACAACCACAACGCCCAGCTTTTTAAAGAGGAAGTTTCTTGCATTTGAAGCACTTGACATATGAACAAAACATACATGCACTATTCTATTCTCAGAGAAAATAGCATGCTTCCTTTCAGTGCTTTACTGTCCTTTCAGAAAAAAAAACCCCAACTTTATGGCAGCACTCCTGCCTGTTGTCTTGTTCTTAGTAAAGTGTCACATACTTTGATTGTTAATAAAATAATAATATACAAGCAAGTGTGTAGTGGTTTGTGTGTCAAACTAAGACTGGAGTGATTTATTGACAGTCATAACCGATTAGCTGAACTTTCCTCCCAGGTTGCTGCCAGGATAAAAAAAATGAGGGAAGAACCACACGTGGCCTTCACCTCACTTGAGGAAAGGCAGGATAAAAATGTAGTTAATAAACCAGGCCAGTTATGGACACTGAGGTGTGAGTGATCCTATATTTGGCTGGTTTATGTAAAACCGCATTAGAGTTGTTTAGTGACTGAGTGGTCTATAAATGCTGAATAAATACCGTAAATTAAAAATTAAAATATCACGAGGAATTTTACTTCCTCTCCCATCATTGTTCAGCATTCTTAATTGTTGTTAATGCAGGTTATGTGCTAGTTTGGCAGGACTAAGTACTGCGCTAAGCGAGGCTGTCCTATGGAGAGGGTGACTGGCACGTAGCTAGTCATCCCCGTGCCAAGGGAGAGCTCCACGGCTGGATACGGGGATTGAAAGAACCAAGCGGACTGAGGCGCCTCACAGATCCGCAGAAAGGCAGCGCGTCACCGCCACCCAAATGGACGCCGGCTGTCACCGTCACGTGGAGGCAGCCCAAGGCCACGTGCGAACACCAGCCTCAAGGACTCACGTGGTACTCCGACTGCGCACAGCGCGGGGCACTGCGGCTGCGCAAACCTGGCTTGTTATTACAGTATTTGCCTCTACCCCCCTCCCTAATTCATAAGAAGGCGGGGCTGTTCTTGGCAATCTGAGGGACCGTGGCATATTACCCAATCGCATGTCGCCTTCTGAGAAATTAGCCCCACCCCCGTCAAATTGGTCACCTAGGCGACCAATGACGTTTCCAGTCTTGAGGCCAGAGAGGTACGCGACTCGGCTGTACCGAAGGCTTCGAGATCTGCGATTAGCCGGTTTAAGATTGATTGACATCTTCAGGAGCGAAGACCAAGCGCAAGCGCTGTGAAATATTTATTATTATTTTCGGCTCCGTTTTTACGGCGATGCGAATTCGGTGGCCATGATTGGCCGGCTATAATGACGAAATATGTAGCCAATAGCCTTGCAGTAAGGAACAATATGGGTGGGACAAATGCGTGACTTGAACAGACGAGCTGTGTTTTTGTCCAATTGGAAAAAAGCTAGGGCGGAGAAAGCAAAGGAGTGCAAGTTAAAACAGCATAGGTAGTTGGTTTCACCAATAAGGAGTCGGGTGGTTTTCATGCTGCCCAATTATTATCATAAACCTATGAGGCGGAGCTTTGCTTGATATGCAGCCACTGTGACTAATGCATCTTGAGATGGTTGAAGAGTCGCCCAATGGGAAATGAGGGGGATGGAAAAGGGGGCAGGTCGCCTTGAGACGACCAGATAACTTCGCCAATCAGTGTTAACATTATTGCGGTGGTAGCCAATGGACGGCCATTGAGGGCGGGACCCGATGTGTTTGGGTTCGTGCTCCTCCAGGGAGTGAGACGGCGGCGACGAGGAAAGTTTATTTTTTGGTGGCGGTTGACCCCCCCTCCCCCCGCCATTTGTTTTGATCTCTGTATCTGGCGGCTGGATTTCCCCGGCGGGTAAAACGGGCGGGAAAAGCGGCTCCCGCAGCAGCGCCCGTGGAAAGGAGGTGGGCTCTCCGTGTGCACCGCTGCGGGCGAAGAGGCGACGGCTGCGGCTCCGCGTAGGTGAGTGGCGAGGCAGGCCTCGGGGGCCCGTGGCGCGCTTCTGCGAGGCTGCTGGAGCGGGTGAACGGCGAGGCCTCTTCGCTCTCCTCTCAGAAGACGCCGCAAATCCCCTCAGAGGGGCCGAACGGCTCCTTCGGGCCCCTCCAGCTGTCTCTCAGCGCCGAGGGTGTCATTGTTGTTAGTATTATTATCATAATAACATGTGTGCTGAGGTAATGATGGTTCCTGGGGATACCTCTCAGGTTCCAGTTTCGCGGCTGTAGCTGCAGGAGCTCCGTTGGGTAAATGAATTTGGGTCTGTTTAGGATTGGGGCGCCGGTGGGGGGGGGGGCGGCGGGAGGAGAGGGTTTTCCGTCGCTTTCACTTGCGCGTGCGCAGTGGCGCTTCCTTCTCTGAGGGCATCGGCGGTGGAGGAGCAGAAGGGGAGTTTAGTATACAGTATTTGGAGTGGGACGTGAAACTCGCTCCTTGGATAATGACGACCTGAAAGGGTAACGGGGCTTGAGAGTTTTTCTCTCCCGAGCTAATGGTGAGATTCTTCTCTCTCTTTTCTCTCCCCTCACACCGTCCAATAACTCGGGATGGAAACTCAGGTTCTGTGGTGCAACCAGTCAGGATCGGGTGGAAACAGCCAAGTACCCCGAGTGTTGCCGTAAAGGCTTATTTATAGCAGCGCTGGTTGTAGCAAGCCCCAGCTCTACCCATGCAGGATGAAAAATGATCCTAAAAGATATAAATAAACACAGCCGACTGGCGGCCTCTTGCTTTCTGCTCTCCTTTGCTTCCGTGAGTGGGGCTCTCTTCCACCCAAGGGGCGATGACCACCTCGAGCGTAACTCGTTTGGCATAATAATATTTGAAGCGGATAAGAAATGTTAGAACTGTTGACTCGCGGTGTAGCGTTGGGTGCCCACTCCTTAGCAGGGTCAGAGCCTTTTAACTGAGAGAGGCCCGTGGGAATAGTTTAACATACAGTGGTACCTCGGGTTACATACGCTTCAGGTTACAGACTTAGTTAACCCAGAAATAATGCTTCAGGTTAAGAACTTTGCTTCAGGGTGAGAACAGAAATTGTGCTCCGGCGGCAGCAGGAGGCCCCATTAGCTAAAGTGGTGCTTCAGGTTATGAACAGTTTCAGGTTAAGTACGGTCCTCCGGAACGAATCAAGTACATAACCCGAGGTACCACTGTACAACGTACTGTCAAGCTACATATTCTGGATTAACATTAGTGTGTAAATGTTACACACAAGAGAAGGGGGTAGCAGAGTCAGAAATGTTTTTGTTTTTGGTACTAAGTGTTGTGAGGACAGCTCTTTCTAAAGATGAAGGAACAGCTGGTGTTATGCGCCTCTGAGAACCCCATTTCTGGTGCATAACATTTTGCTGTGTGTTTTGTGTTGTGTACTGAAAAGGACTGAATTGGAGCTACTGGAAACTTGGAGGCAATGATCTCCTCTTGCCATACCTCCTCTGCCTTTCCAATGCCATGGATAGTAGAGTAAAACTGGCATTTATTTGCTCTTGTGAAATAACATCAGTGATGGAACTTTGTTTCAAATCCACATTTCAGGGTTAAATCAGGCCATAACCTTTATTCACTGAAGTTATCTAAACTCTTAAGAACATGTTGTTGTGGACATAGAGTGGTAGGGTAGTCTTATTCTCTCATTACTCCAAAGTAATGCTGATTATTTACATTGAGCTTTGTTAGATTCTGTGCAGCACTCTTGTATTTCAGAAGTATTGTAGTGTTAAAAGGAAATGCCTATCTTAGTGTAATTGGGTTTCCTGTACAATTTCCTTCAGAGTCCATATAGCTGCATACCCTAGGTGGGATCCTATTATTTTTAATTAGGTGACCTAGGAATTTTATTATGAAGTAAAACCTTTTTATTTTTCTGTTCTGAATTGGGATAATACATTTGGGGTTCTTTTTTGAATATAAGGAGAGTTTTCTGCAGCATTTGTGCCGGCAATCCAAGTTTTAGCTTTATAAAGAGTGCTTTCATCATGTTACTTATGCTTTAAAAATGACATTTCTACTATATCGAAACAAAATATATCATAGTTATTCATTTTAAAATTGTAATACAGTATTTATTACTTTGGTATATTATCAGCTACTTTGTAGACAATTTCCTCTAAGTGGAGTATAAATCCCATAATTTTTCTTTTTTGCTTTTATATGTGTCATAATGCTACCATCTTATTAGTTCAAACTTTTTTATTTGGATTGCTTGCAGTGTACACTATAGGGTAGCCAAGAGCAGTGTCTTCTCTCACCCTGCTAATTCTGATATGGGGTGGGGAGTGGCAGAATTAGTGGAGGCTGGAAAGGTTTTAATATACCCCCAAACCTTCAGAATTTTCTTCTCCTGCATGTCCATAAAGGCCAGATCAGAATTTTGTGGCTAAGTAATATGGAGTTGATTAGTAAGTTGCTTTTTTCAGATAGTGATGTTGATGTTATCAAGTTCTCTTAATCACAGAATTCTTTTTTGCGAACAAAGCACTTTCATTGCCTAGCATAAGTAGAGCATTGGCTAACAACAATGCTGTGCCTGGTCATTCACAATGGAAGTGGGTTAGCCTCCTTAGTATGAGGGTTAGCCTCGTATGTAGGGGACGCAATTTGCACTGAGGATAGCTCATAGCAATTCAGACAGGGGTCCTGTGAAATCAACATTGGTTAGTGTTAACCATGGTTACAATCTGTACCAAAACATTCCTTAATCATGGTAAAAGTTGGGGATGGACTTCTAGTTGACCTAAGTGCTTCATATTGCAGGTGGTAGGCTGGAGAAAGAGAAAAGATTGGATGTTCTTCATGTATCCACTTCTGGTGAGTGCACATAACCTCAGCTAAAAGCTGGTGTGGTATAGTAGTTAAAGTTCTGGATTAGGACTGGGAGACTAAGGTTGAGAACATCATTCAGCCATAAAGCTCATTTGGGTGACCTTTGGCCAGTAACAAGGTTGCTGTGAGGATAAAAGGGAGAGGAAGTGAATATTGTATGCTACATTGATCCGTTTGGAGAAAGGTAGGATATCAACACAGTATAAATAAATACAGGATAAAATTAGCATGTGAATAATGCATAGCCCATAGGCCTCCATACTGTATGACTTTGTAAGAAAGGTAGGTGCCTGGTAGCCATTATGTAGTACAGTGGTACCTCGGGTTACAGATGCTTCAGGTTGCAGACGCTTCAGGTTACAGGCTCTGCTAACCCAGAAATAGTACCTCGGGTTAAGAACTTTGCTTCAGGATGAGAACAGAAATTGTGCTTCGGCGGCGCGGCAGCAGCGGGAGGCCCCATTAGCTAAAGTGGTGCTTCAGGTTAAGAACAGTTTCAGGTTAAGAATGGACCTCCGGAACGAATTAAGTACTTAACCCGAGGTACCACTGTACTTGATTCCCTGAACCGAAGTTCAGACTGATCAATTTGTCCGGGTTCGGATATAATGATAGAATCATAGAACTGTAGAGTTGGAAGGGATCCCAAGGGTCTTCTAGTTCAGCCCCCGGCAATGCAGGAATCTTCTACCCAATGTGGGGCTCAAATCCACAACCCTGAGATTAAGAGTCTCATGCTCTACTGACTCAACTGTCCCTTCAACATAAACTGTGGTTAGTTAAAAAGCTTCCAATTTCCCTGTGACACTGCCAGAGGAGAAGAGACAGTACTTGAGCCTGAGCTGATCAGCCATTGTGGCTTCTACTCCAATTTCCCCCAATTGCTGTGGG